CAGCCAATGTTTCTTATCACTGTGCCACCAGAGCTACTTGGTACTGTCAATACTGTACTATAAACACTCTGAAGTTAGGACTGATTAAAATGTTAAATACGGTGAGCCTGGTTTCAAATTAGACTATACGAAAGGAACATATTCCATGCCAAGGCAAACTTCCTAGTGTAAAGCCAGCAGCAAATGGGCAAGAAATCAGTTGACTGCTATTAACTGGTGGAAATCTGCTCTTAGTCTGGAAGCTCCACTCAAACCTATTCCCCATGGGTGACCCTGCTGGTATTTGAAATACCTAAGGCATGTTGTTGTTAGGTGCCATTGAATAGGCTCTGACTCATAGCAACCCTACGTACAACAGAATGAAACACTGCCTGGTCATGCGTCATCATCACAATCCTTATCATTCTTGAGCCTATCACTGCAGAAATTGTCAACCCACCTTGTTCAGATTCTTCCCCTTTTTTCACTGACCCTCCACTTTATCAAGCATAATAATCTTCTCCAGAGAATGGTCTCTCTTTTGACAACATGATCTACGTAGGTGAGGTGAAGTGTGGCCATCCTCTCATTTAAGAAGCATTCTAGCTGCACTTCTTCCAGGATGAAGATTTGTTCGTTTTTCTGGCACTCCATGACACTTTCAATTCTTCACCAATACCACAACTCAAAAGCATCAAATAGTCTTCAGTCTTCCTATTCATTGTCCAGCTTTCATATGCATATGTTGTTGTTGTTGTTGTTAGGTGCCATCGAGTCAGCTCTGACTCACAGCGACTCCATGTACAACAGAACGAAACACTGCCCAGTCCTGTGCCAGCTTCACAAACCTTGCTATACCTGAGCCCATCATTACAGCCACTGTGCCAATCCATCTCGTTGAGGGCCTTCCCCTTTTTCGTTGACCCTCCACTTTACCAAGCATGATATCCTTCTCCAGGGAATGGTCCCTTCTGACAATATGACCAAAGTAGGTCAGACTACATCTGGGCATTCTCGTTTCCAGGAAGTGTTTCGGCTGCATTTCTTCCAGGACAGATTTGTTAATTCTTTTGGCAGTCCATGGTACTTTCAGTATTCTTCACCACCACCACAACTCAAAAGCATCGACTCTTCTTCAGTCTTCCTTATTCATTATCCAGCTCTCACATGCATATGAGGCGAGTGAAAATACCATGGCATGGGTTAGGTGCAGCTTAGTCTTCACAGACACATCTTTGCTCTTCATCACTTGAAAGAGGTCTTTTGCAGCATATTTGCCCAGTGCAATACTATGTCTGATGTCTTGACTGTTGCTTCCAGCAGTTGATTGTGGAATCAAGTAATATAAAATTTTCTGACAACTTCAATCTTTTCTCCATTTATTGTGATCCTGCTTATTAGTCCAGTAGGGAGGATTTTTGTTCTCTTTATGTTGAGATATGACCCATACTGCAGACTGCAGTCTTTAATCTTCATCAGTAAGTGCTTCAAGTCATGCTCACTTTTAGCAAGCAAAGTTGTGTCATTTGCGTATCGCAGGTTGTTAATCACTTTTCCTCCAAGCTGATGCCCTGTTCTTCTTTATATAGTTCAGCTTCTTGGATTATTTGCTCAGCATACAGACTGAATAAGTATGGTGAAATATACAACCCTGACACACTCCCTTCCCAGTTTTAAACCATGCAGTATCCCTTGTTTTGTCTGAGCAGCTTCTTGGTCTATGTACAGGTTCCTCATGAGCACAATTTAGTGTTCTGGAATTCCTATTCTTCTCAATGTTATCCATAATTTGTTATGATCCACACAGTTGAAGGCTTTTGCATAGTCAATAAAACATAAGTAAACATTTTTCTGGTATTCTTTGCTTTCAGCTAAGATCCATCTGACATCAGCAATGATATCCCTCATTCCATGTCCTCTTCTGAATCCAGCTTGCATTCCTGGAAATTCTCTGTCAATATACTGCTGCAACCATTTTTGAATTATCTTCAGCAAGATTTTACTTGTGTGTGATATAAATGATACTGTTTGATAATTTTTACATTCTGTTGGATCACCTTTCACTGGAATGGATACTAAGAGGGGATAGTCCACCCACAGTTGCTCAATAGAGACCTGTGTTAGGAGACAGTTAATTTTCCTTACATGGGGCTTTGGACAAGCAGACACTAATGGACATCTCTGGGAAAGAACCTAAGAAAAAAATTAAAATGCCCTTATAGCACTCGACCCCCAATATTTTGAAAAAAGCTTCATGTCCATCAACAGAATAACCTATGGGCTTTGAGTTGATTCCAGCTTATTGTTACCCAATAAGACAGAGGAGAACTGCCCCACAGGCAGTGGCATCTCTAGGTTTGGTGTCACCCAGTATGGTAATTCATGGTGTCATCCCTTTCCAAGAACCTCCTCCTATACCAAACCATAGAGAATCCTTAGCAATGTTTATTATAAGTTTTAGTCGTGAAATAATAGGTGATATAGTTGTAAATCACTTAAATATATTATATCTTGTATTATATGAATACTAACAACAAAACTGTTTTGCAAAATCTTTCTACATTGAATTACAACATTATTCATTACATTATTGGAACCGAAGTTTTTTTTTTTTTCTTTTTCTCCTACTTCATTCTCAAAAAAATTGCTGATATAGGTTCACAAATACTAATTACCACAATATTGTAGCTAAAACATCGGAAAATTTGACAAAATCAAACACTGGCAAGAATGAAAACAAAGCATAGAGACAAAACTGCATGATCTGAATGGCTATTGTAATTGGGTAATAACGACAGCTGTTGTTGTTGTTGTTATGTGCCGTCGAGTCGCCCCGACTCATAGTGACCCCTCCTTGGGTTTCCGAGGCAGTATCACTACGGAAGTAGATTGCCCAACCTTCCTTCCGAGGAGTGACTGGTGGATTTGAACCACCAGCCTTCTGGTTAGCAGTCAAATGCCTTAAGCACTACGCTATCAGAGCTCCTGTCCATCAACAGAATAACCTATGGGCTTTGAGTTGATTCCAGCTTATTGTTACCCAATAGGACAGAGGAGAACTGCCCCACAGGCAGTGGCATCTCTAGGTTTGGTGTCACCCAGTATGGTAATTCATGGTGTCATCCCTAGACAGCTAGAGCATATTAAACCAAACCAAACTCACTACTATCGAATGATTCCAACTCATAGCCACCCCATTGGGTTTCCCAGGCTGTAAATCTTTAATGGAAGTAGATCGCCCCATCTTCATTCCATAGAGTGGCTGGTGGGTTTCAACTGCTGACCTTTTGGTTAGCAGCCAAATACCTTACCCACTATACCACCAGAGCTCCTTCAGAGCTTATTAGAAGGTTCAAAAAGTAAATTAGCATAGAGTTTTAGCCTTGTAGATATATTGATACGTGTAAGCTGGGCTTATGAAAACAGTTTTTGTGTTGTAACTAATCACAAGGATATTTTTATGAAAAATAGAAAATTTCTGCAGAAACACTGCACAAAATTTTATAGATAGTCATTTTGGTGTCACCCCTATGATAGTCACTCAGCAGTAGAAAGATATGGCAGTTCGCTTCCATAACGTTTACAGCCTCAGAAACCCCATAGGGCAGTTCTACTCTGTCCTGTAGGGGTCACTATGAGTCAGAATCCATTGAACCACAACCGGTTTATGAAGTGGAACAATTAAGCACTGAATGAATGCAATGACTCTGAAGAATATTTAAGAACATGGGAAATGCTCACAAAATAATATTAGATGGGAAAAAACAAAATATAAACTGCATACACAGTATCATAAGAATTTTGTAATCATATTTTTTAAAGTCTATCAGGGAAAGTTAAGGAGTTTGTGGGGTAGTAACTGGTGGTTTTGTTCTTTATTCAGTCATACTGCTTTAGAACGCTTCACAATGACGATATACAATTTTTTTAAAAAATTGTGATTTAGGTGAAAGTTTACAGAGCAAATTCACTTTTCATACAGCAGTTCACATAAGCTTTGTCTCATGACACTGACTGCAGTTTCCCACAAAGCAACAGCTTCCCTCCCACTTCCTTCCAATAGTTGCCTCTTCCCTGTGTCCTTCCCTCCCATGCACTCTTGCCCCTTGAGCTGTCTCCCTGCGCATACGCAGCCCTTCTATTCTTCCATGATTCATCTCTCCAAGGAGTGTATCCACCTAATGTAAATGTTCACCTCAAATGCCTGTCTTGTTTGGCTGGAAGCCACAGGAGTGGGTTCAATTCCAGACCTGAAGGGCAGTTAGGGGTCATAGTGGGATATAAAATTTTTATCAGGAAAAATATTAAATATTATTTTCTGAAGACCAGTCCTTTAATGTTAACTAGGTCCTCGGGGCCTGGTCAGTTCTCCCTGCCTTTTCTCCACAGCAAAGGGGGGCGCACCAGCCTGCTCCACCTCCCCCAGACGCTCTCTCACCAAAAAGAAAACCCACTGCCGTGGAATCTATTCCGACTCAGCGACCCCGAGGCAGTACATTTTTATGGAAGGAGATTGCCCCATCTTCCTTCGGTGGAGTGGTTGGTGGGTTTGAACCACCAACCTTCTGGCTGGTAGTCAAATGCCTTAGGCACTGCACCACCAGCGCGCTCTCCCGACGCCCTAGGGTTCTTCTTTTTTCCCGAGGCTGCCCCACTCGCCCACGCCGGGACCCAGGTGTTCTTGACCTTTCGCCTCTCCCCGCCTTTCCCAGTCTCCTTTCTGGACTGACCTAGGTTTTTACAACACATTCCTTTCCTAACCTCAAAGTAATAAACGTAGATGTTGAAAGCCAGCAGCCAAAGTTCTCGCTCTGTTTCCTCCGGACCCCAGGCTCTCTCCCCACGTTGCAGCCCCTCCACCCGTCAGCTTCCGGCCCAGGGTCCTGCTCCGGCTCCTCGCAGGGTTCCAGCGTGTCTACCCGGTGCGCCTTCACCGCCTTCCGCCTTCCGGTCGGCCGAGACCGGGCCCCGCCCCGCGCGGATTCTGGACTCTGTACCCAGGCCGTCCCTCTTGGCTGGCCATGGCTTCGCTGCGTTTCTCAGCGAATCTGTCGTGGTTGTTCCCCGAGCTCCCTGGCCTCCCCGCGCGGCTGAGGGCCGCGGGCAGCGCGGGCTTCGAGGCCGCGGAGGTGGCCTGGCCATACGCGGAGCCGCCGGAGGAACTGGCACGCGCAGTGCGTGAGGCTGGACTGCGGATGGTGCTGATCAATACGCCCTCGGGTGCGCTGAGGGAGCGCGGCCTGGTTTGAGCTGAGGCCAAGGCAGGGTGCCTGAACCGGGGCTAAAGTTTGTTCTCTCCACAGGAGACCCAGAGAAGGGGGAGATGGGGCTGGCGGCCGTACCGGGAAGGCAGGATGCCTTCCGAGAGGGGCTGGAACAGGCTGTGCTCTATGCCAAGGCCCTGGGCTGTCCCAGGTATCCCCCCACTTCCTCCTCCTCCTCCTGGTCCCCATCTTCCCTTGTTTCCTCCTTTATGACCCACGTCCCTACTGCAAATTCGTGGTCTGCTAGCCGTGGCCCCTAGGTCTGAGAGGCTCAGGAGTGAGCCCACTCACCCTCATCATGGCCCTTTTTAAAACTGCATTTTGAAATTTTCTTACTGTCTTGTGTCATTCTCCTTGTTTTGCTGCTTGCTAATGCATATCCCATGCTGGAAGTCCAGTCTGATTAGGGAGATGGCAAAGTAAATATACTGATTGTTTTAGGATGGTGTCACTTTAAGAGACCATGGGAGCAGAGCACGCACCTAGGCCCTTGTCTGGGGTCGGAGAAAGCTGCTAACAAGTAATGATGGTAGAATGGAGTCTTGAAGCTGTAGGCATTTGCTTGATGAGCAGGAGGTAAAAAGCATTCTAGGCTGAGTATAACCATGTTCAGGGGTTCTTGAGGCTGGAGATGTAGCCTGTTGGGCCCAGGAGGGCCTGAAATGTAGGTGTGAAGTTTGGATGTAGCTGAGAAATACCAGGTGGTGATAACACAGGAGGAGGAAGGGTCAAAGTGGGGTGATCAAAATACATGTCAAATCCCGCAGAGGCCCAATGGGTTAGTGCTAGGGACAGAGGAGAGATGGGAAGTAGCTAAGAAATAGATGCAAGTAGAGGAGTAGGCAGGCAGCCTGGAATACTTGACAAGGGTAAGGGTCAAAATGATTTTTTAAAGGTGAAGCTTTAGCATGCTTATAAACTGAGAAGGGGCCGAAAGAGATAAAGGCTGAAAGGATAAGAGGGGCTAAGTGATAGACTTAGGGCTCTGAAGCAGGGGAATGGATCCGGAGCCCAGACAATTGTCCCTAAGAAGGCATCCGGGAAAGGCTTGGCTTAGGCTGACACAGGTGTCTGAGGGCCCTGGGATACCTAAGCATCATGGCCCAGGGTGTGTGAACCGGAGCCCTGGGGAGAGGAGTGTGGCTGGCACCGGCATCCTGGAAGGATGCATACAGGAGCCGCAGGAGTGAAGTCCTCTGCTTCAGGATGGACCCACAGCCCCTCCAGTTCCATCTTCCCCACAGGATTCACCTGATGGCTGGCCGTGTACCCCAGGGAGCTGATCGAGCGGCTGTCGAGGGTGAGATGGAGACAGTTTTTCTGGAGAACCTGAGACACGCAGCTGGGGTTTTGGCTCAGGTGAGAGACAGGTGAAAACACATAGGCTTGTACTTGCATGGATGTCTTTCGGGGTATGTGTGGGGAGGTTCACAGTGGAGCAAGCAGATAAGGCCGAGTGGGACAGGTGTGGGCCTTGACTTTCTTCTGAGAAAACTTGGTGAGGAGCTTTATTCACAGCATCCAACATGGTGCTAGGAGAACCTCGTGGGACTGCTGGAGCCCATTAACACTCGAATCACTGATCCCCGGTACTTCCTGGATACCCCCCAGCAAGGTAGGACCGCCTTCTGTCCCCTTTGATTCCTGCCCTCTCTTGAGTCTCATGACCTCCTCCTCCTCTCTCCCTCAGTGGCAGCCATCTTACAGAAGGTTGGAAGACCCAATCTCCAGTTACAAATGGTAAGCAGAAGAAAGAGAATACTTCTCAGAGGGCCCAGTCTCTAGGGGGCCTTGAAGAATGGTGTGTGCCTGAGGGGTCTCTGACTGTAGTGTTCTGTTCCCAGGACATATTCCACTGGCAAATCATGGATGGGAACCTGACGGGAAATATCCGGGAGTTCCTGCCCATTGTTGGTGAAGAGGGGTCCCCTTCTTTGCTCCTTCCTCATCTGCTATGCTGTATCCTATGCCCGTCCACACTTTTAACCCCCCATATCTGTCCCTGAGGCCACAGCAGGAGGCCTGGGCTTATATCTGCCCCTATTTGTCCCAGGACATGTGCAGGTGGCGCAGGTCCCAGGCCGGGGGGAACCCGACAGTGCTGGAGAGCTGAACTTTCCCTACCTATTCCAGCTGCTGCAAGATGAAGGCTACACGGGCTTTGTGGGCTGCGAGTACCAGCCCCAAGGTGAGGGGTAAGGCTAAAGGTGGCGTAAGGCACCTGTCTTGGCCCTGGGGAAGGGAGTACTAAACAGACAGTTACTGAATGGGGGCCCTTTCTCTCTTCCTGGTTGAGATGCTACTATCTCCCTCTTCCCTCAGGAGACACTGTAGAGGGCTTGAGATGGCTACGTACATATTGGGACAGGTGGGGCCGCCCACCGGCTGGCCAGTGAGGTCCTGTCCACTGCCCACATACCTCTCTGGGACAAAGAGTATCCTGTGTCTCCTCCTCTGAATTAAAGACAATATGCTGAACATTTTCATGTACATATGTATTTAGGGGTGGGGGGGGGACACACAGTGTCTAACCCTTTAGTTTCTCTGGGCTGCTTCCCTCCTGTTAAGAAGGGCCATACAGCTCATGCTCAAGTCTGCCAGTCTGAACCGGTGTTACTGTAGAGACGGGTGATCTCTTGAGCCTACCACTTCATTTACAGATGAGAAACCAAAGGTCTGAGAGCAAATGGAGTTGCCCATGGTCACAGGTGCTCAAAGGCAGAGCTGGGACTGGAACCCACGTGTCTTAGCTTAACAGTATTGTTCAGCAGTGATGTTCATGTGGGAAATAAAGACCAGAGGGCTAGGGGCAGGGAGATAGCAATCTGAGACTTGGAGGCAGGATTCAAGGTGAGTGCTTGCCATCTGGTATAAAGGACTCCACCAAGTAGGCAGGAAGGAGGAGTTCCCTTCTGGAAGTGCCCAGAGGCCAGGGCGGAGGTGGGCACCTGAGGGAATTGACCTGACCCTCTGGAGCCCTGGGCTAGTCAGTGGCTGTGAATAGGGAGAGTAACCTCTTCTTGTGGGATGTGGCAACAGACCCTTGAGAGATCCACGAAGCTTTTGGTTTCACTCTGTGTTTGTCCTGGGGCCCAGCACAGGGTTGCTTAGTCTCGTTTCAAGTGGGCAATCTGGTAGATCCATGACTAGAGAAACAGGGGCATTCGGTGGCCTACTCCTTCAGAGGAGGCGGGTCCAGAGAGTGAAACAGGCTGTGTTGATGACGGATTCGAGGTGGTGGTAGGTGGAGACCAGCTGGGCAGGGGGGCTTTCACTGTCTTGGGGCTGCACTGGGAAGGGCTCTCGGAATACCACCGTCAGAGACTGTGGGAACAGAGGTGGGGTGCTGTGGTGAGAAGAGGGCAGGGTAGGAACAGGGAGAGTGTTCAGAAAGAGCGGGCACTAAGCAGGCTCTGCTGTGGAGCATACAGGCTACATCCTTACACCAGGCTGGCACAAAACCCCCTACCCCTGTTCTCACCGTCTTTCCCAAGTGGGAATCCAGAAACACTAGCACAAAACAGTCAGTGAACTTCTGATTCAGCACAACCTATAGAGAAAAACAAAATGAGACAGGGAGGGAGGTATGTCTCATCTGAAGAGGCGCAGACCCTTTTGGGCAGCTTAGAAGTGGGGGCCTGTCAATGGTCTGCTTCCATCGTTACACCTGACCCCGCCTGCACTCCAAGGCCACTCAGGGCCTTGTATTCAAATTGAACATCTCAGTTCTTATTCTTGTTAGCTTCCCAGGCTGCCTGTTTGAGCCGCATCAGAATGAGGGGTAACGCATAACTGGAAGGTTACTGAGGTCACCTATCTTGAGGCCTTGTGTCAAGCCTAGCCCATTGGAGCCAATCAGTGGATTGGAGTTCTCTACCCTTGACACAACCCATCTTTGCGTCCTGTTCTGTCTTGGGTCTCTCATCTCCCTGACTTCTCCTGGGACTCTCCTTTTACGACTGTTCGCTAACACTTAGCTTTGCTTTCTCTCCCTGGGCAATTTCTTCTAGTCCCAAGACTTCAATTACCACCTGTTCCTATAGATGCTGCCTAGATCACTCTCTGAGCACCCATCCCAATGTCCATATGCCTTCTAGACAGCATTCCCAGAAGGTCCTTAGGGACCTCAGGCTCAGCTTGCCTCAAGTTGAGGTCATCACCCTCCCCCTGAAACCTATTCCTGCTCAGTGTTCCCACCTACAGGATCAGCCCCATCTGTTCACACCCACCTGTACCACCACAGCCTTATCCTAACTGATTTCTCTGGATGACCCTGAAACTAACTTTCCCCACAAACGTTTGTCTCAGGACTCCTTACCATGGTCCAACTCCTCCTTTCTCTGTCTTCCCTTGACAAGCCTCCTCTCCTAGACCACTGCTCTTGTTGGGCCCGTCCCTTTAGACTCTAAGTGCCTGTGTTCATACTCACCACACCTCTTCTCACACCTCTGCTCTTGCTACCTGCCCTTATGACAGTGTCCCTTAAACTTTAATGTGTATACAAATCATCTTGGGGTCTTGCTAAAATGCAGATTCTGTTCAGTAGGTGTAGAGTGTAGCCTGAGAGTGGGCATTTCAGCAAGCTTCCACGGGCTGCTGATGCTGCTGGTTTGAGGAACATACTTTGGGTAACAAAGCTTTAAAGAGGGCCTTTATGGAACTGCAGTCTCCAGACTAACCATAGATGGGTTCTGAGTGCTCCTGTGGTTCCACACCTTGATCCCCAGGATCTCTAGTCAGTCTTTGTTTTTGGTGAGCCAGTGGGCGCAAGGCTCTAAGTTATCCCCTTAAACATTCCACAGCTCAGTGAATCACATCTGCACTCAGTGCTGGAAGGGTTTTTACATATATGTGTGTAGTCCTATTCCATCCAGGCCCCCACCAGGACGCAGCTTGCTTGGTCAGGCTGGGGATCTTTGAGAGGGACATCTGGCATCTCTCTGATGATGATTTCTACCATGTCTCCCCTTCCAGAGGGAGCTCAGGGGACTTACCAGGTATTGAGTTCCCAAGTCTGGGCTCTGGAAATGGCGACAGCTCTGGGGGAAACGGCTCAGAAGAACCTTGATCAGGCTCTGGTACCAGGAGACTGTCATGGACAGGAAGCAGTCCTGCGGGAGGGTCCACAGGCCTGGATTTGCTGTCCCAGAGGCAGCTCTGAGACCCCAGAACCTCTGAAATTCCCAGCAACCTCCCCAACCCCATCTGGAGCCCACAGCCCCTTACCAGCTGGGGGTCAATGTCCCCAATGGATTTGGCATGGACTGCTCCTAGGAGCTCCTCCAGCTCTGCCAGGGCCAGGCGCCCACCTAGCCGCAGCCGATCAGGCCCTGGTGGCTCCAGCAGGAAGAGGCGCTTCCAGAGTGTGTCCCGACGGCAGTGGCCTCCAGCCAGCCGTACCAGCTGAGCCAGTCGTGCCCGTGCAACACCCACTTCTGCAGCCAGTGGTGGGAATAGGGGGGCTAGTCCAGGGGCCAAACCAACCCCTGTGGTCTCCCCAGGGATTCCAGCTAAACTCCCTGAAATCTCTGGCTCAGGGGGCAGTCTGGGTGGCTTCCGGAACCGGCGCATGTCAGCAGTGAGTCTGGGGAATAACTCTCGTTGGCTGGTAAGCACCACAAAGAACTGCAGCCTATGGGAGAAGTGGAAAGGAATGTGGTGGTCACAGTGGAGCAGATAGAGGGCAAGAGCAGGGAGCAAGGAGGAGGGTAGGTAATGGGCAGGCTCGAGGTGGGGGATCTGCTGACCGCAGAACATGTCGCTCGGCCTCTCCCTGCTCCTCAAACGGTGCAGCGCAGTGACAAACAAGCAGAGATACATCAAAGTCATCTGGGTGACGAAGTCCCTCAGAGTCCAGGTAGGAGCCAGAGCTGTGTGGTAGAGGTGAAGGACATGTCAACCCTAACATCCAGGGAAAATAGTCCCACCTCTTCTGCCTGAGAAAACACGGGTCTCCTAACTGCGAGCTAAGGCCTAGACCTCAGCTCTATGTGAGTGCTTGCTGGGTGGCCCTTCTAGCTTTACCTGTGCCATGCTGACACCAGGGCATATTCATTATGTTCCGGGCCCCCTGGCCGGGCCATACGCAACGGCTTCATGTGATAGGAGCTGGCATGGTCCGCCACGTAGTTGTAAAGCTGATGGGCAGCAATGAGTGGTGTGGGGAGCTCCAGTGTCCCTGAGGGGCAAGTTATAGGAGATAGGAGACACTGAGCCTGAGACAGATACACTGATCTGGTCAGGGGTGGGGTGGGGTGGGGTGGGGTGGAGGGGATGGGAGTTCCTAAGGTTTTAATTGGCAGGCAGACTGGTTCTATTTTCCAGGACAGCTGCATTTCTACACAACACTGAGATGGGATAAACAGTAGCTCAGAACAGACAGACAGAGGGCAGGGTGCATATGACTCAGGAGCCACACTTTGATATGAAACAGATTGTGAAGAACTTAAGACACAGCCAGAGAAATGGGGACAGGGTACCAGTGCTATGAGGCAATTAACAGTCCAGACCAGTCAATGCAGAGACCAGGGTCTTGTCCTAGGAAGCACACCCACTGGCCCTAGCCTGGAGATACCCTGTGACCTGTTCTTTCTTTCTGGCTCACTGGCTTGCCTTTGGGCACTGACCTTGGTAAATGTGGTTGCGGCCAAAGTGGGGACCATCAGGGTGGTGGGCCAGGAAATGTCGCAGGAAGGTGGTGAGGTGGTAGCCATGTCGGAGGACCAGGTGGGCGCCCAGCACATGCTGGTGCACCAGGCGCAGGTGGAAGTCATAGCTGAATGAGTGCACGTGCATCAGGTCCCGTACCCTGTCACATTCCTCTGTGAACAGCATGGACAGCTGGAGAGGTGGCAACAGGGGACAGGATTAGGGCACATTCCTCTCCTTTTCTGTGGGAAAAGGAAGCTCAACAGTCCCACCCTGTAGCTGTGGGCCAAGGTAACCCTCCCCTCTGCCAAAATAGTTTTATGGGAAGCCCTCCCCATTATATCCATTCATGCTGCACTGTAACCCTTTACATGTAACACTGTCCATCTTGGGGACTGAGACTGAGCATTTTTACTCTTATCTGATTCTACTGGAGTCTGGCACAGATTCACTGAAGTGGCAAATACCCATTGAGTGTCTGCCTTGTACCTACCAGGTACTGTTCTAGGTGCTGGGGATATAGTGGTAAACAGAATTGAATCCTTGCCCTCAAGGAGCTTATATATTCTAGTAGTAAAGACATAGACAAAAACATGAGAAAGAGTCACTGAGTAAATGACACACCATGTTAGAAGATGGCACTAATGAAAATCAAGTAGTAAAGTGGGGTAAGTGCCAGGGCAAGAGGCTGTGTAGTTACTACTGAATGCTTTTCCTGGCTCCTTCCCATGCCTCCAGCTTCATCTTGCCATCATAGTACTTGCTGTCCCCTAGTATGTCACATATTCCCTCAACATTTTTGTACCTGCTGTTCTCTTTGCCTAGAATCC